GATTCTCCCCTTTGTTTAATTCTGGGTTCTTCACGGTGGCGATGAGATGCCTCCCTCGAATGCTCGCGTCGAGTTTGCTTCTCGTTGACGATCCGAACGTCTTGATTCACTGGAACGATGTCTTCTCCTCACGATTTGACGCTGTGGAGAACTTGCGTGGCAAGTTTTGAAATAACTCTTGACGAGTTGATAACTCTGAATGAGTTTTAGAAGAACTCGTAGAGTAAGTTTTGAACTCTGATCGAGTTTTAGAAGAACTTGCAGAGCAAGTTTTGAACTCTGATCGAGTTGATAACTCTGAACGAGTTTGAACTCTTGAAAAAGAGTTGATTTGAACCGAAAGTTCGGTTAATAAGCCAAGGAAGAAGCTCCTGTTGCTGGTCTCCAAAACTCCTTGTTGCTGCAGAACGCGGCAAGATGCTCGATCAAGGATCCCCAAAAAGTCAGCTCCCCCCCTCCAAAAAAGAGGATCCGAACTCAGTTGAGTTTTGAGGTATTTATAGGGGGTTAAGGGTATAACCGCCCCCTTAAATATCTCCTTAATGAGGGTTTAATGGGGTCTAACTGCTCCCCATAAATCTCTCCATGATAGGGTAGTGATCCCCTAAAATCTTGGGGAGAAAACGGTTCTGGAACCGTTCAAATCGTGCTTGAACGAGTTAAACGCTGAAAACAGCGTTCTGGGCTCGAACTGTGCGTTTCTGGACCTGAAACGCACAGTTGAGGCTGAAAACGCACAGATGGAGCTGAAAACGCACAGTTGAGGCTGAAAACGCACAGCTGGGCCCGTAAACGCACAGTTAAGGCTGAAAACGCACAGCTGGAGCTGAAAACGCACAGCTGGGCCTGTAAACGCACAGTTAAGGCTGAAAACGCACAGCTGGAGCTGAAAACGCACAGCTGGGCTGAAAACGCACAGCTGGAGCTGAAAACGCACAGTTGAGCCGTAAACGCACAGTTGAGCCGTAAACGCACAGTTGGCCTGTAAACGCACAGTTGGCCTGTTTCAGGTTAAAACGCACAGTTGAGCCCATAAACGCACAGTTGGCCTGAAAACGCACAGTTGAGCCCATAAACGCACAGTTGGCCTGAAAACGCACAGTTGACCTGTTTAAAGGCTGAAAACGCACAGTTTGTGCTGTTTTAGAGATGAACTCTGCGTTTTAGGCTGAAAACGCAGAGTTGTGCCTGTTTAAAGGCTGAAAACGCACAGTTGTGCTGTTTTAGAGATTAACTCTGCGTTTAGATGTTGAAAACGCAGAGTTGAGCCTGTTAACGGCTGAAAACGCACAGTTGTGCTATTTTAGAGATTAACTCTGCGTTTTGATGTTGAAAACGCAGAGTTGAGCATGTGCGCTTTGACTCTGTAATGCAGAGGCGAACCTTAGGCGGGCTTGGCGGGCTTCAGGCTAAGTCCAATGTTCTGATGAAGTCCAGTCTTGCAGACGGACCTCAGAACATAATTTGCTGCGAAGAACAGGTCATAACTTTCAAACCGTAAGTCGGAATTAGACGAATTATATATGAAAATCGGCTATCTCGACGAGACGGGGCCATCCGAACCGAGCCAAAGGCTTCGGTTCGCTTCCTCCGTTTTGCCAAATTCCTTACGGTTTGAGAGATATCTGCATTCTAATATGAAGAGACCGTCAATTTATAGTCTCTTTTGCTAGAGCTTTGCACAGATCGTCCTCCAATTGTAGCCTTCTGGAAGTCGTCAGATTGTAACTTCCATCATCGGTGTTTGATGGGGGATAAGCTATCTATTGTGATTTTTTAGACAGCCTACAATGACGATGTGGAGATTGTGAAAGTCCACACGAAGGATAATCCGACGGATATGCTCACAAAGGTGGTTCCGAGTAACAAGTTTGATCATTGTCGAAACTTGTTGCACATTCGTGATTGTTAAGGCCGTTAGCGGCCATTTGGGTGAACTACGTTCGGCTTGATTCCTTGGGCAAGAGGATACGTAGGTAGTCTTTCAGATGCAGCCGGTTTGGATTAGTTGTTGGGGGTGAGATTATTTGGACTCTCGTTCGGGTTCTCGACTTGTTATGGATTGAGTTCGTACTGGACACAACAAGTTGGGACATTTGGTTGCTTTGGTGTCGGCTCAGTTTTGAAAAAAAAAACTTCACCGTGGTGGAGAATTGTGAACGCAAATAGGGGTGGGGACCACGATCGGCCCACGAGCTGGGCAAAGGAATTGGTTTCCGCGTGCGTGAAGAGAAGCAAGGCCTTTCCGTGTGCGTGAAGAGAAGCAAGGCCCATCCCCACCCGAGATAATTAAACCGCATATATAAATAATTTGTCACCTAGGTTTTTTGGGTGAGCAGGCAGAGGGGAATAGCTTTGCGGCTACAGGTGTGCGGCTGTAGAAAGAGATAGGCAAAGTATTGAGAGAATTTGAGAGAGAAATTGAGGAGATTTTGAGCAGTCCCTTCTAGGGTTTTGTGCATCTCTTTGAAAGGTATTTATGAGGGATTTGAGAGTTTGTTTGAGGGTTTAGATTGTGAGTGATTGTAAACTCTAGTTGTATTCTCTCCCTCTATTAGTGGATCTTCCCCCTCCTTGCCCCGTGGACGTAGAAAATTTGCCGAACCACGTAAAATTTGATTGTATCGCTTTTGTGTGATTTGTAATAGCTTTTAGGTTCCCTCGACGCGCAGTCCTAGAGCTGACGAGAGGAAGAGCTAATATCCCACTTTGATGGGATATTAGGCTTCAAATTCTTGTTCCCTTTGAGAAACAATAATTCTTATTGCGACCTGACTCTTTTGTTGTGCTGCCGAAGTGCTGCCGAAATTTTCGCTGCGCGCAACAATTTAATAGTTATCCCTTTTGCGCATAGCTAAAATATTAATTAAATTTTTTAAAATGATATAATATTTTCTACATGTAAATCATGATGAGTGTAAATCATGATGGACGGGAGATCTTCTATCGGCTATAGTGAAGTGACTAACGCTTTGACGAACTACGATTTGAGGATGAAGGATAAGGATACTTCCCGCGCTAGTACTTCAGGAGAGGCCTTGTCGACGAGAGGTAGAAGTGTTAGACCCTAGAGGGGGGTGATTAGGGTCTTATGCTAATCTAATCCGAATAAATGCCAATTAAAACTAATCAATAAGTTATCCTAGCAAGTATGAGATACAACAAGAATATAAGCTAGGATAATCAATATGAACAATGAGATATATCCTATATGATAGAGATATATGCAAGGATATATAAACAACACAAGGGTAAATAATCTAAACAAGATAGTGGATGAAATAAATGAGTAATGCACAATTGGCGATATAAGATAAATGCAAAAACAAATACGCCAAAGACAAACTCAAACAAGCAATATGATCACGGAGTTCGGACCTTCCGTCCTACGTCTCCGCTCCCCACTCCCGGGGAGAAATCCACTATCAAACGGGTTTTCTACGTTCCCCCGTACAACATTTACACCACACACTCGGTTTTCTAGCTAACCGAAAACTCTACAACTCACACTATGCAATCACACTCTACACCCACTAAGTGTTGGACCTAGCCGTGTCTCCCTCAAGTGCTCGGTCACAACCTCTCCCTAGGCTCGTCAACCGACGCCACTCCTCTTGGGACGATCCCCGACTCTCACCACACACTCCTCACTCGGTGTACAAGTGTATTACAAAGTGATTCTCACAATAAGCACAAATATGACAAATGATTGTTCTCAAAACAAGGTGAGAACTCAATTAAGCACAACTCTTAGTCACAAACCCACAACCCCAAATTATACTATGAATGTAAATACAATAAGCTCAAAAGGTTGTGTGTGAACAAAGAGATATAAATAACTTATGTATTTTGTGACATTAATAAAAGGGAAATTTTCCGAAAGACTTTGAGTTGTTCCCCCCATGAAAATTTTCTGAACTTTGTTTTTCCCACAAAACACCTAATTTTTCCACAAAATTCCATAAATTATTCACCAAAAAATCCTACTTTTTTTTCCTACATACGTTAAAGCTTTGATTGTTTTTTCTTTTAATTTTTCAAAAATTTCAATTCTTATTTATTGTTTACTGAATCTGGTCTCTATATTAAGAAATTATGTAAGCTCAGGTTAATTTTCCAAGATAGTTTCCTCATTTAAATTTATTCCATTTAAGAAGAAATTCTATTGGTTCAAGAGTATTCAGGTTAAGGACTTACAGTTTTAATGTTGTGGAGTTTCATGGGAAAAGCTTAGGGGCTTTAGAGAGTAAAAACAGAGTTAAGAGCGATTTCATGGGGACGGGCGGCCCAATGTTTTGAGGGGTTAAATGTAATTTGCATTGCATCTCTTAAGCTCCTTGCATGTGCCAAAAGAACAGCACGAAGTGCAGTGGCTAAACCAACAAGCTTGATTTGTTATTTGGCGTAAGTTGATTAGTTTGCTAACGTCGTGTTGTATCAGGTGGCAAGTCCTTTTCTTTATTATTCCTCACTTTCACTTTTAGAAAAACACAAAAGATATCATTTTCTTTCATGTCAAGTACAACCTCAAAGTTTGCCAAATCATTAAAACTTTTTATTATGATCAGAATAAATAATTAATTATTATAGTATTAGAGCTATTCTTTTTCTTTTTTTTTTTGACGCGTAGAGCTATTCAAATTTTTTAGATATATAACTTTTTACCGTATAAAAGTTCCCCAAATTAAGTTACGCAACGTAATTGTTTCCTTACCGATACAATATGAAATCAGGCTTTTCCAATACCATAATAAAATCTTTTCCACCACACTAAGCTACCAAATTATAGTGTAGTTGTTACTATAATTTTATATGGATGAAATGTTTTGTACACGGTTTTTATTTTAGTTTAATTAAACCAGAATTTTTTTTTCTTTCCTATCATTTATGTTAAATCCACCTACTAGCTACTTACTAGATTAATATTCACTCTTAAAAACCCAAAGTAGTGCACAAACCAACGTTTTCTAAACCCACAATATGAGTGCGTGTACACGTACCTTCATAACACAGAGACCGGTGAACTCAACCATCTCTCCGGTGGGTGCACGGCCCTTGTAAGGTCCTTCCATGTACCCCCAGTGCCGGAACTTGAAGACGATCTCCGGCAGCCTCGTGTACGCCCTCAGCACCTCCCACGCGAACCCCCGAGGGAATGCCGTGTGGAAAACCTCGTGCGACGTCTCGAATGTTTCCTTGTCCACCTTGTAGCACTGCAGCTCTTCCGGCAGCGAGCTCTGTAGTAGCGCGTTGTAACTCCCTAGCTTCAGGGTCTCCTCTCCTGATAACCCTTTTCTTCCTGTAGTGTATAATTAATGATAGAAATTAATACCAAATTATGGGGATTGAGAGCCAGCTCCAACAATATGGGAGAAAATATATATATATATATAAGCGAAGAGAAAGAGAAAGAAATGATTTTAGGATGAAAAATATTAATGAGGGTATGAAGATATTTAAAAAAAAAAAGATAGGGTAGTTCGTATTTTGGCAGTAGGTCCAAAGTCCATTTGAAAGTGATACATTTGAATTGACGATCCATGCTAGTTTTGAGAGTGCTCTGACAAAACATATTTTAAGTGAAATTTTGAAACATTGTAATAAGCGAAAAACTACTAAACTTGTGGGGATTTGATGAAATTTATACCCTCGCGACTATATATAATTATTCTCAAAACTTTCGTTCAATAAACGAGAAGTATAACGAAAAATTTCTTTAAAAAAATTTATTACCATTAACGAGAAAACGAAAATTTTCAGGATTGATAGCCTTGAAGTCCTGAATGCGGGTCTTGTGAGAGAGTTCCATCTCCCATGTCTTTATGGCATTCTGCACCATCTCTTCTAATGATCCCTTGGGCCATTCCTGCAAATAATTATAAAAAATTATTAAACAACGTGTCAGTTTTAATTTGAAAAGCCGTAAGAAAAATATCATTTTGTTTTGTATGAATTATTTGTATCATTTATTAAAATGTTATTAATAGCAAATACCATTTTGTAGTATGTTGTGTATTTACACTAGTGATAGGGGCTAGAAATTTGTTCTAGTGATGACCCATTTATCATGGTTGTGTTTGAGATCTAAATTGATAATTTTACAATTTTATCCTCTTATTAAAGTCCTATCCAAAGTTTTTAGGGAAAAATGTGTCCAGGCCCCAAAAACAGAAACTTCATGTGCTGCAGCCCTTCTTAGTTTCCCCCATGTGATTCAGCCCATTGAAGTGTGATACTTTGTACTGCAGCCCCTTTGTAGCAATTATTACATGCCAACTAAGCTAAAATCCCCAAAATAACCTTATCTCATCTCTTCAATCCCTCAAACTCAGCTCTCTCTCATCTCCCTATATTAGTTCTAGCTAGTTGAGCAAGTTAGAACTAACAATATTCGAAGCGATATAATGAGAGATAGAAAATGAGCCCAAGTGAAAGGAAGATACCGTGTGATAGACAATATAAAGAGCTACACACCGGTAAAGACGGTGGTAAAAACGGAGACCGGAGGTGGCCTAAAATAGCGCGCGAATCGGCACGTCGCTGCTATTTTCTGCTCGCTGCTGCCGTCGAGCGATATTTCGGATGTTACCGAGAGAGATAGAGACTGAATTTGAGCGTGATATAAATTAGAGGTGATAGACAACATGTAGGGCTAGTCAACAAAGAAGAAATCGGCGGAAACGAAGATTGGAGGTGATCGAAAAGTGCGTGCGAAGTCGGCACAAAACTGCAGTTTTCTGCAGTGCAATTTCTCGCCGTTCGGGTTTGTTCTTCGCTGTTCAGAGCTTTTCATCGCTGTCCGGGCTTGCCGGAGGTGGGAGGAGGTTGTCGGGGTCGTCGGGGTGTCTCGGTGGGCTCCGTCGGAGGTGGGAGGAGCTTTTTCTCAAGTTAGTTCTAGGCTTTTGGGCTCTCAAGTTAGTTCTAATTTGCCACATGTTAGTTCTAACACACCCCATATTAGTTCGAGCAATCCCCATGTTAGTTCTAGCTAGTTCTAGCTCTAATTCATCTTAGTTCTAGGCTCTTGGGCTCTCAAGTTAGTTCTAACTTGTCCCGTGTTAGTTCTAATTCGCCTCATGTTAGTTCTAATTCGCCCCATGTTAGTTCTAGCCCGCCCCATGTTAGTTCTAACTTGTCCCATGTTAGTTCTAACTTTTCTCATGTTAGTTCTAACCCGTCCCATATTAGTTCTAGCCCGCCCCATGTTAGTTCTAGCCCGTCCCATGTTAATTCTAGCTAGTTGGGTAAGTTAGAACTAACAATATTCGAAGCGATATAACGAGAGATAGAAAATGAGCCCAAGTGAAAGGAAGATACCATGTGATAGACAATATAAAGGGCTACACAGCGGCGAAGCCGGTGGTGAAAATGGAGACCGGAGATGGCCGAAAAACGCGCGCGAAGTTGGCACATCGTTGCTATTTTCTGCTCGCTACTACCGTCGAGCGATGTTTCGAACGTTACCGAGAGAAATAGAGACTGAGTTAGAGCGTTATACAAATTGGAGCTGATAGGCAACATGTAGGGCTAGTCAACAAAGAAGAAATCGGCAGAAACGGAGATTGGAGGTGATCGGAAAGTGCGTGCGAAGTCGGCACAAAACTGCAGTTTTCTGCAGTGTAATTTCTCGCCGTTAGGGTTTGTTCTTCGCTGTTCGGAGCTTTTCGCCACTGTCCGAGCTTGCCGAAGGTGGGAGGAGGTTGTCGGGTGTCTCGGTGGGCTCCGTTGGAGGTGGGAGGAGCTTTTTCTCAAGTTAGTTCTAGGCTCTTGGGCTCTCAAGTTAGTTCTAATTTGTCCCATGTTAGTTCTAACACGCCTCATGTTAGTTCTAGCACGTCCCATGTTAGTTCTAGCTAGTTCTAGCTCTAATTCATCTTAGTTCTAGGCTCTTGGGCTCTCAAGTTAGTTCTAACTTGCCCCATGTTAATTCTAATTTGCCTCATGTTAGTTCTAATTCGCCCCATGTAAGTTCTAGCCCACCCCATGTTAGTTCTAACTTATCACATATTAGTTCTAACTTTTTCCATGTTAGTTCTAGCCCGTCCCATGTTAGTTCTAGCTAGTTGGGCAAGTTAGAACTAACAATATTTGAAACGATATAGCGAGAGATAGAAAATGAGCCTAAGTGAAAGGAAGATACAGTGTAATAGACAATATAAAGGGCTACACACCGGCGAAGACGGTGGTGAAAACGGAGACCGGAGGTGGGCGAAAAACGCGCGCGAAGTCGGTACGGCGCTGCAGTTTTGTGCCGACTTCGCACGCACTTTCCGATCACATCCAATCTCCGTTTCCGCTGACTTCTTCTTTGGTGACTAGCCCTACATGTTACCTATCACCCCAATTTGTATCACGTTCTAACTCAGTCTCTCTCTCTCGGTAACGTCCGAAACATCGCTCGATGGCAGCAGCGAGTAGAAAATAGCAGCGCCGTGCCGACTTCGCGCTCGTTTTTCGGCCACCTCCGATCTCTGTTTTCACCACCTTCTTCGCCGGTGTATAGCCCTTTATATTGTCTATCACACGGTATCTTCCTTTCACTTGGGCTTATTTTCTACCTCTCGTTATATCGCTTCGAATATTGTTAGTTCCAACTTACCCCCAACTAGCTAGAACTAACATAGGAAGATGAGAGAGCTGGGTTTGAGAGATTGAAGAGATGGGATAATGTTATTTTGGGGATTTTAGCTTAGCTATCATATAATAATTGCTAAAAAGGTGCTGCAGTACAAAATGTCACACTTCAAGGGGCTGAATCACATTGGAAAAACTAAGATGGGTTACAGCACATGAAGTTTCTGTTTTTGGGGCCTGAACGTATTTTTCCCAAGTTTTTATGATGTCTTAAGAAGAAAAGAAAAAAATAAACAACAACAATAATAATCAAATAAAGATACCTATATATTAAAGTAGAAAATTTATGGTATCATGTGACACATCTAGACAGTACCCTGTACCTATTACACTCGCATAAACTTTTATTTTATTTTATTGGTACTTAAGCACCCTCTGCATCTCTCAATAAATTTTACGTTTATTTCCTAAAAATCAAGAAATTGAAATGGAAAAGGTGAAAATCTCAAAAAATACTATTTCTTCCATTTCCATCCCTAAAACTCACATACAACATCCAATAAAATATTACTTTCATCCAACAACTCATCCACATTATCTAATAAAATATTATTTTTATCTAACAACTCATCCATCACATCTAATAAAATATTATTTTTATCTAACAACTCATCCATCACATCTAATAAAATATTATTTTCATCCAAACATCACTCAACTCAACTCTTCTCATCATTTCAAATCACTCATATCATCCAATAAAATATTATAGCAATTCTCCTCATCTCATTAACATTTTATTTCTTTGTTTTCATCCTAAAAAGTTGTGAAAACACTTTTCTTAAGTGTGGGTCACACCACCCAATAATACAATGACAACTCATCTCATCTCATCTCATTTCATTTCTTATTTTTAAGATTGAACCAAACAAAAGAAAACAACAAAATACAGGAAATAGGTTTTTTTTAATTCATTTCCTTATTTTTTTCGCTAACCAAACAACATCAAAACTAGTTTTCTTAAAAAACCACTCACATCATCCAATAATAATGTGACAACTCATCTCATCTCATCTCTATTTCTTTGATTTCCTTCTTTTTTTAGCTAACCAAAAAATTCAAAAACCTATTTTTCTTAGAAATATGTTTCATTTTCTTTGATTTCCCTCTTTTTTTAGGCAAACGAACAGACCCTTAATAAAAATCCTACTCGTTTACTGAAACTGAAAAGAAAAAGTACTTTTTATCATATGGAAACGACTTGACATCTCAATCAATCTTAAAAATAATATATAGCAATTTAGAAAGTAGTTCAGAAAGTTCAAAAAAGGAGGGGGCCGGAAAAAAAGAAATGGTTTAGAGGACATAAATGACTACACAATCATAGGGTATATATCTCTAGTTAATGATCCACACTCAATTCCATATATAGTTGAGTATGAGAAATTTTAATTAAAGAAAATCTATATCTACTATATAATTTTTAATAAATGATATTGATTTCCTTGCAAACCAACTTACAGATCAAAGAAATTAAGAGAGAACTTTTTTGAATGTAGAGAGAACAGAATTAATTCACCTTTGTTCTTCCTTGCTCGAAGAGCTTGTTTACAACATCATACTTGGGAGGAGAACCAAACCTCCACTGAGTCTCTTTCTCTCCATCTCCATATAAATGAGACCTATACTTGTCTCTCCTTGTTGATCACTAAATGTTCCCTCCATAGAAGTTATTGAAACTTTATGATTCAATATCTTTGGAAAAATAGGTGAGAGACTGAGAGTGAGAGGCTTCTTATAGGATAGTATGAGCATGCATACCGACACCTGTGCGTTGTCTAGGTCCCAGACCTCCCTGCAGTGACCGGTGGCTAGATGTAGGTTTTTAAATATTAATATATACTAGGTTGGATATGCTTTTTATATATATATAAAAGGGCGCTGGTGTGTCACCCGAGCCCCTTGGCTAGAGTGACGTTAAGTTGTCAATCAGCCGCTCATCGACTTATTACAATCTAATACTTCCGTAATAAGTTATTTGTAAAACTTGCCCTCTCACGTGTGGTCCCCTCTACCCGAAGATAACAACAGCATCTTAAGTCCAACTATTCACACTTCCAAACAGTAACTTTGGGGTGTGTGAGGACTAAATTGTCCTTCTCCCAAACCAAAACAGGCCAAGCCCATTCTAGAAACACCCTCAACATCAAAAAGGCATTTTCGGCAATCTAACTCCCAAAATTACTGTTTGGAAGTGGATATAGCAAACATGCGTCGTCTTCCTCGTCTTGCTGCTACTAAACAAAGCCGATGGAATCAACTCCCAAAAAACAAAAAAACCATGGCTATCATCTCTTCAGCTTGGTCCCCATCCTCAAAATACAACCTCCTCACCTCCTCACCTTCCTCCTTGGTTTCTCAAATTTTTTTTATTGTTCTCTCTCAACTTAATTTTCAAGTTCACAGTTACGATTACTCTCTCAAATAAGAAAATCAAATCAACCAAAATGGAGAGGAATTATCAACAGTTATGTCACGTGGCCTATTTTTAAAAGTAATTTCCTCTTTCTTTCTTCATAGGATCTTCAACATGGGCTTTCAAATAGTGCAAGACTAGGTTATCATGTTAGAGATATTAGATTAGATAATCAATAGAACACGCTGGAGATAGCAGATAATCAATTAGATAATTTGGGTCCCTTTGTCTTATCACAATCACTTTTATATATGAAGTTCCCGGCCAGTTTTTCAAAAGAACCAGAAACTACTCAGAATTAGACTTAAAATATAAGGGGGGAAATTTCTCAATTTGCACTTTTTTGGAGCTATAATCATGGCAGGAGCGGAAGTTCCGCTAAGATCAATGATTTCCCCCCTCAAACGAATTAGATTTACCAACTATTATCCTTTTGAAGTACACTTGATAAACACTTGAGAAAAGAGGGTGAAGTAGTGAGAAAATTCGTAGAAATAGGCTAGATAATCGTTTATTGCAGTGAGCTTTAATGGCCTGTTTGGTTGGTTTTCTTCAATTTTCAAAACTCATTTTCCTTTATTTTTTTGTGTTTTTTTCACTTTCATGAAAAGTGTTTCTCGTGTTTGTTTCTCCAAAAAATATGGGCTGAAAGTAATTTCCACCACTTTTCTTAGTTTGGTTCAACTTGAAAAAAGAAGAAAACAATTGATGTGTAAATAAATTCCCTTATTTTCTAGTGTTTGGTTCAAACAAAAAAAATCAAGAAAACTTGATTGTGGTCACTATGATGTGATTACGACCCATATAAGACAAAATATTAACACAAAAAATATAGTCACACAAAATATAATGTATTGCACCCAATTGGCTGCAAATTCAGAAGGCAAGCACACATTGCCTGAAAATTCAGAAGGCAAGCACACAACTTGTCTGAAATCAACTCGATTGAAACCAAACCAAGTCTGAAAATATTCAAAACTGAACCAAGGCTGAAACCAACTGGAGAAAAACCAAGACTCGAACAACCCAAGGTTGAAATTAGACCAAAGTTTAACACAATTTATAGAAAATGTGTTAAAAAAAGATCCTTTTCTTCATTATCTACATCGCCATGAAGTGTATAATAGCAATGTTGGTTGCATTTATTACCTCGCCAATTGATTACTAATATAAACTTTGGTTGTATACATTATATATCCGGCCATCATCATGGCAAAATATCACATTAATTACCAATGACATAACAACCATTTCAATAATGAGGATGTCAACAATGACAACAACACAATAAGCAACACATAAATCCAATATGACTGCATCAAAGGGCATAATCCAACTATGACATATACACCAAAAAACTGAAAAATCCATAAAAATATGGGGGGTTCCCGCTGGTCTGGAGATTAATATATGAAACAAGTTCACTTAATCACAAGCTTTCCATATGCAGTTCTCCAAATACAATACTATCAAATCGACTTTGGGCACTTCAAACTAAGGCCGAGAGCAAGGCTGAAACCATGCACAAAATTGAAACAAAGGCCAAGCAACAACTGAAACCAAAGGCCAACCATAGCTGACCAACCAAAGGGCAACCAAGAGCTGAAACTAAAGGCCAACCAAAGGAAAAAACTAAAACCAGATTCATAACCAACCCAAGAGCTGAAACCAAGGCTGAGAGCAAGGCTAAAACCATGCACAAAATTAAAACAAATGTGTAGGTGTGAATTTCTGATCTCCCGAAACAGGGATTTTGTTTGTATTTATAAGAAAAACTTATTACAAACTAATGAATCGAAAATTACAACAGAAGCGGAGGGAATGCCCTCCTTGTTTAACGTGGGGACTTTCGGTAGCTATAGGATGCTTCGCTCGGTTCTCACGCCGAGTATGCTTCCCTTGGACGATTCAACCGAGGTTGCTGGCGAGCTTCAGTACGCAGTAGAAGCACAGATCGATGGAGTTTGGGTCTCTGAGTTTGACGGCGATCAGGGCTCGAAACTGGGAGAAGATGCTGCAGTGCAAAGATTATGCAAAGAGCTTGTCGTCAACTCTCTTGAGAGTCGAGAGCCAGTGGTTTAGTTAACTGATTGAATTAATCAATTAGCTATGAGCGAACTGCTGAACCCCTTTTCCGAAGCCATGAGAGGTTCTTAAATAGAAGAGAGACGGTGTGGCCGCTCCTTGAATCATGAGATATGACCATGTATCGTTAGGAGATACCATGCCTTGGGTTTGTACTGTGAGCGACTGCTTGGTGGGTTTCGAGTACTGCACTCCTTCCCTTCACGTCGTGAGGAGTAGGATGGCCCCTCTTTGTATGTGGGATAGCGGCTGCCCCGCACTCGAGTGGGTTTAGCCAGCTTGCCGTTTGCAGGCGGATTCAGCTCTTGACTCGTGCAGGTGAGGCGAACTTCCTGTAGGCAGACTTGGCGAGTGACTAGTCACTCGTACTGTGAGCGGCTACTTGATGTGTTTGGAGTACTGTTCTCCATCCCTTCACGTCGTACGGGAAGTGGGAACGCCCATCCCTGTACATAGCGTAGCGGCTGTCAAGTACTCAAGTGAGTCAAGTCAGCTTGCCGTTTGCAGGCGGATTCAACTCTTGACTCGTAGGCGAGGCGAGCTTCAATCGTGAGTGTGCAGGCGGATTTGATGACTACATGGATTTGACTGGTTGCGGCTACTTAATGGGCTTGGAGTACTGTGCTCCATCCCTTCACGTCGTGGGAAGTAGGAAGGCCATCCCTGTACGCAGCGTAGCGGCTCTCGTGTACACTGTTTGTAGGCAAGTTAATTTGGCTCTCGGCTCGTGCGGGCGAGTCGATCATACAAGCGAATCTGGACGATCTTGACTCGTGCGGGCGGGTCGATCATACAGGCAGATCTGGACAATCTTGACTCGTACGGGCGAGTCGATCATACAAACAGATCTAGATGATCTTGACTCGTGCGGGCGAGTCGATCATACAGGCGGATCTGTGATGAACAAATGCGAGTGAATTTGGCAACTGCGCGGTTTAGGTTTGCGCAGGTGAGTCCAGCCCATGGGTGAGCTCCCACCCTCAAGATCGGTGGACGACTCTGACTCGCAGGCGAATTTCTCGTATGTCTACAAAGGTAATTTTTACCATCTACAAAAGGCCAAGCAAGGACTAAAACCAAAGACCAACTTAATATAGCTTTTGCCAACTTAATAATACACTACCCACACATAAGATTTAGAACATGTTATCTGCAGAAAAAAAATTTATAAATGCATAATACGTATGGGACAGTACATGAGTTTTAAATCCAATATGACTGCATATCCAATATGAATCCAGTTGGAACATATCAATCTGTCATGAACAATAAGGACGACAACAATGACAGCAACACAATAAGCAACACATTTTCTAGTGTTTGTATCACTCATAATTAGCCAATATACAATTGATTGCAGCTATAAGATTGAACCATTCAAAAAAGCTGAAACCATGCACAAATTTGAAACAAAGGCCAAACAACAAATGTAAGTTAAATGAAACCAGATTCATAACCAACCCAAGAGCTGAATTTGAAACAAAGGCCAAACAACAAATGTAAGTTAAATGAAACCAGATTCATAACCAACCCAAGAGCTGAAATCAAGGCCGAGAGCAAGGCTAAAACCATGCACACAATTAAAATAAAAGTCAGGCAACAACTGAAACCAAAAGCCAACCATAGTTGATCAACCAAGGCCGAGATTCATAACCAAGAAACTGTTTGCCCAGCATCTTGTTGTCCATTAAGAGAGAGAATATATGAAGAAACCTCTTTGCATGACATAAATTGTTTTCCACTTGGACTATATCAGTTAAATATGCAAAGAGAAGGGAATCATGAGTACAAATGAGACCATGTAGCCCAATATAAATTGTTCAAAAGCTATACCATGAAAACTAGCCAAGTCAGCATGAGCTCAATAGTGAACACCAAAATAGATACACTACAACAGACAGGTCTTTTAGCGACCAACTTTTTTACGAGAAAATTATTTTCCTCAACAAATATCACTTTTGACGAGGAAAATATTTTTTCCTCTGTAAATATCAGTAGGTCTTCTACGAGGAATATATTTTCCTCATAGTAGACCACCTTCTACGATAAAATTTTTAGTTCCTCGCTAAAGATGATCATAATTTGGTCTCCTAACTAGTTATTTTATTAGCGAGGAAATATGTGATTTTGGTGATGAACTTTTTCATCGCGAAATGCACATTTAACGAGGAAA